AATTTATGAACTTTTTCATATTTTGTACACTTTGAACTCCCATTTCAGGCTGAAAGGGACTGAAAAAAATCATACCTAGAGATTCGCTAAATTCCCCTCTAATATATATTCTGTCTCTTTGTCTACTGCATATACATTTGCAACATGATGTCCTTTGATAATTCAAATCGTGAAAATTACCTGAGAAAATATGTGTCAAAGTTCCTACTATATCAAATGTGCAAACCAAATATAAAGGGATTAGAAATTAGAGTTTTAGGCAAGTAAACTGTTCCTTTGTATGCTTCATAACATTCCGTATTCTCTTCAACTTTTATGTAAAGGAAGTGAGTCAATCATTTATTTTTCTATTTTTAACAAACAACATATTTGTGCTAATATAAAATGTATTTTTTTTAATTAATATTATAATAACTTTTATATATGTACATTGTACATTTTATCTTATGCTTTTATTTTTTCAAAATAAAAATGTTTTTCATCAGGAGGATACTTCAATTTTAAAAATAACAATATTTTATTGTCCATATTTTGTTTTTTAATTCTACCTTATCTAAAACTCACGCAAAATTAAAGTAAAAGTATTTCAAGGCAAAAGTAATCTAGATCTTTACTATCGATATTTTCAGGAAAGCCCCCAGTTCTGCGTTCAAGGAACATTTAATATATTGAATTAAAAACTAATCAATCTATGTGAAAGAGTTAATAACACTTAAATGTCATTTTCAATATAACAAGTAAAAATTAAATTAGCAATTTAATTTTTATTTGTTTTTTTTTCATCACAACTTAGCTTTATATATATATTTTTTTTATCGATTTCTGTCGGAAAATGAAAAGCATAATTCGTGTTGGCCTAATCTAATCTCATGCTTGTCAAGTATAGGATATGCTTGAGTCTGATCAGTTTTGATATTTCGGCAGCTTTGCTTTCACTCCTAGCATAACCTTCACATTTAACTACTTGCAAGCCGGGGGCCGTGCTTGCAAAAATAAATATAAGAAAGGGTCAAGGTGGGGGGAAAACGATGGAGGATTAATGTACCATAAAATAGTGTGTGTAAATGTTAAATACAAATATATTTATCTATCTCTAAAATCGAATTTTTTCCGACAGCTTAGAAAAAAGCACACACTTAAAGTATGAATTAAAAGACGACAAATAATGTCAGCTTGTAAAAAAATGTCCCATGCTCCGGGAGAATTTAAAAAAAAACTGTTGAGATTTTAAAAGAAATTAAAAAATTAAAAAGTTTTAAAGAAAAATTACCTTATCTTATTAAGGTTGAGTCAAAACTAATTTTTTATTTTTTTTGGAGTATTTTTCACAATTTTCGAATCTTCTAACACAGTAATATAACAGTATAAAATTCTATACCAGACAAAACGAAGAACAAATATCAACATTTTGACTCTACTGCACTTTTTAGTGACATGTGTGACCTCCCTCCCAGCTTTTAGGGTCATATATTTATACACACTTGAAGAAGAATAGTAAGAAAGATAGTTAAAGAATAGTTTCAAAGGAATATATATCATATTTCTAATATAACGAGTAGATTGACCTTTAACTTTCAGGATTATTTCTTCAAACTACTAAAATACAGGGGAACTAAACATTTCATTTGTCAGAATCTAGAAAGGAATTGAATACTTGAGCTTAAAGTTTTAGTTTTCCTATTTCACTTTTTTATCTTTATCTTTGGTGTTAAACTTCTACCTTATGAAGTTCTTACAGGTGGATTTTAAAATTTGAAATAGAAAAGGATGTAAAGATACAATTGGATCATTAGAAAGACGGAGTTTGAGTTTCATCATTGTAAATTTGCGTTATGTAGAATTTTTCCATAAAAAAGGCAAAAGCTTATAAGTAATTAATATGAAATACATGATACCCGTAAAAATAGTATTGTCGATTCTCAAAACAAATTGGAAAAAGCTGTGAGTAATCATGTTTACATATATATTAAAGAGAATGTACGCGTACTTGCAAGTTACTCTATTGATAGAGTCACAATGGAACAGATTTTCAGAATTAAATACTTTCAAGACAGAAAATCTGACAGTATTCTCTACCTACAGTTCAAAGGGTACTTTATAGTGTACTACAAAAGTCTAATTTTGTGTTACTGAACATGCTCTAAAACTTTTAATTTTAGACCTTTGATAAATTTGATAAAAACTTTGATAAATTCTGAAATCTCATCAAATCTGCAATAAATTGGCAAAATTTTTTTTTTATAATTTCCGCAAAACTTTCACACCCTAAAAAACTCAAAAATCAAGTCGGACCCCAAATCTCAAATACCTAGTGTTCGTTTCTTTGGGAAAAAAAAATATGCATTGTCTGAACCCTTTACAAGATAGAATGCTTATCGCCATGCATTGGGGGTCAAAAGCGGGGTCACAAACTCACTTTTTCTAATCCCCATATTTTATAATCTTATTCTGATATTTCAAACTTAGATTATTTGCTCTAACAGAACAGAATTTATAGATTGAAATATCCAAAGTCTAAAGAATTGAATTACTATAATTTAGGGATTATAGAAAATCCAAGTTTATGTCAATTTACCTTTATATTGACAAATCAGTTTTTGAGACCGCACGAAACCCCGGTTCATAGATGGTGAAATAAAAATAAACTTTTCCGCGGAAATCCAACAATGCAAAATTTACTGATTTTAATTTACGAAAAAAACAAAAAAACAATAAAAACATTGTACGTTGTACGATAAACTACAATTACGAGATTTCGCAGGATGTATCCGCGCTACATAACTGAAATATTAAATGAAAAAAAATATTGAAACCGATGTATTTCAAATTCAATTTTCACGAATACTCCCTTTAAAAAGATAAAAAAAAAGTGTCTGGCTGGCATGTATTTTGATATTACTTGAACTGAATATAAACTAGTTAAAAGTGTAAACATAGTTAAACCCAGATCCCCGCAGTAAAACATGTGTTTATAAACTTTAAAATAAATCTTGTGTAAAATTGATGCCTTGATATAATTTACTTTATTTAGTGATTATTCTTCATTTTAATTAAGCTTAAAGGCCGCTGGTCCGATTAATATCATATCTCTAAGCATACAAAACATACAAATAATCTGAGTTTTGATTGATAATTTGACATTACCTTACATAAACTTTGGTTTCTATGGGTGTTTGTGTGTTTGTATTCATTAAACCTTAAAACGACTTAACCAATTAAATCCAAATATGTTGTCGCAACTCACATGACCCGTTGGTCTAAATTGAAAATAGTGTCCGAAAAAAAGTCGACATTTACGATTTTTGAAAATCCACTGATTTAAACAGAAAATCCGGGGAAACTGGTGTTAATTGGAACATGATGAAAAAATTTTGGCTTGAATAAAAAAAATTTTAAAGCTAAAATTGTTAGTAAAACAGGGGCACAAAGCGCACTTTAAGTCTAGTGAAAGAAAATTCTAAAAATAAAATTGTGGCTTAACCCTATTCCCGCTGGGGGGGGGGGTCAATTTGACCCCCCCCCTGTAGTTTTTTTTACATAACTCAAAAAGTATTGGTCTGAGGCTGTTGAAATTTTCTGACTTTTCTTACATACCCAAAGCCCTCCCTTTAGGCCTAAAACCTGGCTTTAATACTAACTGCCTGAGTCCTCAGGCACACTGCCTGAATGACTGCTTTTGCCTGTAGCAAACTAAATCTTTGTTTTGACCCACTTTTACTTGTCAGATTTTGATAAAATTTAGCTTTTTGGAAAGCCTATGACATAAGGAAACGGATTGCACAAATTTTGCGAAAAAAAAATTGCAAATTTTTTGCAAATAACCTGTCAAAGGAAATTTGCACATTTTTAGTTTTTCTTGATTAAAAATCAGGTTATTTAAAATTTTGCAAAATTTTTTGCATATTTGAAATGGCATGGTCAAGGGCTTTTCAAAAATGTATAATTTGTCATTTTTTGGACAAATTTTTTTTTACAAACATTTTTACTATAAAACTGGATTTTGCGATAAAAAATTCAATTTTCGCAAATTTGCCAATTTTTTTGCAGATTCTAAAAGTAGAGCACAAGAGCTTTCTAATGATGTATCATTTGTCATATTTGGACATAAAACATGGGATTTAGAGGGGGGGGTCAAATTGACCCCCCCCCCCAGCGTATCCTGGTTTTCAAGTACCCCAGCGGGGATAGGGTTAATTTTTCTAAAAAAATTTCTGTGCAACCAAATGTGCTGTGAAGCATCATATATTCATCAATGTGTCACGTTTGTATATTTTTTTAGATATTCGATTCTCTAATTTTCAATATTGCCTAATCAATCTAATTTTTACATCTAATTAAAATTGTATTATCATGAATGCGAGCAAAAAACAATACATGCACCTAACCATGTTCTAACAGAAGTTGCTTTGATACAAAACAATAAAGTAGGTTAGAATAGTTGCAAGAGATGTCGTCAGTGTAGACCTCTCAACATTGAAGAAACCAAGAGCTGTAAAAGGACTCTCATTCTAAATTTTAAAAAATAGATTTTTTTACCAGAACAGAACCTTCTCGCAGCACAATAAATTATTGATAACATTGTGTATTTACTGCTGTTTTTAAGAGAGCGGGATGTTATTCCTACTTTTTCATCCCCAGGGAAGAATTTCAGACTCAAAGTAAAAAAAAAGACTGTGAAAACTTTACCTCGATAGTTTTCATGAGCATTAATATTGCTCTTTTGTTACCGATCTTATTCTCATACATTATCCTTAACAGTAATGAGTTTAAACCAACTGTAGTAAAACTACAGAAAAAGTTTATACCAACTGTAGTAAAACTACAGAAAAAAATACAAATGTTTCCTTTCATTAAAAATTTTTCTAAGTGTTTTTTTCATTTTGAACAAAATTTTTCCGACTTGTCATTTTTCACGTTTTGCCAATAAACATGAGAAAAAAAATTAAAAATATGCAAAAGTTTAAGTGTTGTAGATTTCACACAGATGTTTAAACCTCTCTTCATTTTTTTATTTCAAGAAATATTGTTCTAGCAAAACTCTTTTGTTTTACCTTAGAATTTGAACAGATTGTTTGAACTCTGTATGGCAATCATCAACTGAGAGAGTTATAAACATAAGACTGAATATTGTGCAGATACAAGTAGAAATAGAATCAATAGTTCCAAGTAAACTGTCAGGCCGACATTTTGTGTTAATCACAATGGAGAAAAGGAAAAATATAAGAATCAGAATTTTGGAGGAAAACACCAAAAGAAGTCCAAGTCCAAGTCCACTTTTCAATTTCCTTTAAAAAACGGAAATTTTTAAGATAATAATATACATAAAATTCTTATCTAAAATTTCAAAGAAATTGAGTTTTTGCCACAAAATCTGATCTTCTAATCTCTGTATCTTTACAAGTCGATATCGTAGACCTTTGATATTGCAAAATATAAATTATGGAAGATAAAGTAGTGTAAGTTTGAAATATTAAAGGGTTACACATTCAGGTTGTAAAGATTTAGGAATTAAAAGATATATGTTTGTGGCAAAAACTCAATTCCTTTGTACCAGTTTTTTTTGTATTGTGCATAGTCTTTCCGAAAAAAGTAAAAATCTAACAAAATTGTTTTCATTTTTAATTCTCAAATTATAAAACTCATCAATATTGAAACTACGCATATAAATATAACAAGAAAGTATCAGTTTACTCATTTTTAGTCAACAGAGTTTTGGAAACAATAAAGTTGTGAAAGAACCCAAATAATAAAGTAGCCAAACCTGTATGTTTGTAGAAGGTTATATATTGGTAAATACATGTTTTCAACGTGTTCAACACCATTGATCTTGGTACAATCATATTTAAACCTTCTTAGAATAGATCCCACAACTACCAGTAGAATTGCATGGTAGAGAGTTATCAGCAGTGTCTCAATCAATACACATGCTTCAGTCAGATAGTCCTGCCACACAAATTTGATGAATAGAAAAAAGAAGTTGAACCACGTCTCTTGAACTTGAACCGGTACACAGCTGTGCAGTTCAACTAGGTCTTTGTGGTTCAACCACCTCCCAGTATTCATTAAATTGTGTCCCTGGAATGAGCTGGCTTCAATGATCCCCATAATGTTTATTGGAACGGATATCAGCATAAAGATCAGTGAGCTGATCATGAGCATATAGTGCTCAGGTATCTCAAGGTTTCTATCCTGAAAGAACTCCGGGGTATAAAGCTTCAAATTAAAATGAAATATCGGGATACTGAGAAGCCCAGCTAGAAATGTAACATCTATAACCAGAATGGCAAGTGTCAAAGATATCGAGTTTTCTGAATTCCATACTTCTAAAATTATATAGCAGGCAATAGGAATCAATGGTAGTCCAATCCAGAACAGGATTCCAGGAAAAGAAAAGAACCCTAAATGAAAAAAAAATTACAAACCAAAGAAGTAAGCTAGCAAATTTTTGTCACAGTTCAGTAGACGACATTTTGTGAGTGTGATTGTTCACCTTTATATAACAAAAATGAGGTCAAGTTTTTAGAAGAACAAAAATTACAAAACTTACTCCTCAAAAATGCCCCCAACACGAGAGTCAGAATCATTGATATTTACTCTTGTTTTGCTAGAAGACATGGAATTTAGTCTTTGCCACAAACTCAAACTTTGTTAACCCTTTTTCTTTGTAACTTGATGGTGTAAACCTTTTATAATTTAAACTAAGATTATTTAAACTTTCACAATTCAAATTTTGAAATATCCAGCAGAAATATAGAGTCTTTAAAATCAGAGTTTGTGGCAAAGACTCAATTTCTTTTCCATATATTAGACTGTCAATGTAAAACAGGGGACCAAAGTTTCAAAACATGATTATGTTCTAATCTTGGCACTCAGTGTCAGGTCTGGGTCATACTTGATCTTGATACTTGATCTTGCTTTCCTGTAATATCTCCATTATAATAAGACTGGGAGGTTAAGTAAGTAAGTAAGTACGTAAGTAAGTAAATAAGTAAGTAAATAAGTAAGTATGTGAGTAAGTAAATAAGTAAGTAAATAAGTAAGTATGTAAGTAAGTAAGTAAGTAAGAAAGCAAGTAAGTAAGTATGTAAGTATGTAAGTATGTAAGTAAGTATTTAAGCAAGAAAGTAAGTAAGTAAGTAAGTAAGAAAGTAAGTAAGTAAGTAAGTAAGTAAGTAAGTAAGCAAGCAAGTAAGTAAGTAAGCATGTAAGTAAGTTTAAATATATTGACAGAAAGTATCTGGTATCAACACCTTGAAGGATTACAAAGATTGAGCAACAATTTTCACGACTACATAGTTGACTTTGTAGTAGATCATAATTCCTTACCTTAATAATATCCTTATATATTTAATTTATAAAAATTAATTGGTAAAATGCTAATACTTTTTTGCGTGAGAGCAAGAACATAAAAATATTTTGATTGTTTTCCAACATTGAAATTATTTTCTAGATGGTGAACAATTCCTTTCTAAAGCAAAACATTTTATTTTAATTTACTTTTTTATATTTTACGCTAAACTTATTAAAGTAAACACCTTCAATACAAAAAAAAAACTATGTTGAACGATATGATTTTACCTATTTTATCGGAAAGTTCTAGAATCCAACTTGAACAACTACTAGATGCACTAGAGGTGCGTAACATTTTTGCATCGTTTTTAAGTGGTATATTTATATTAGAGGGTGCAATTCTTGCCATCTTTTCTAAAATTTAAAAACTGAATTTTATTTTTGCCAACTTTTCTCTTTTTAATATCCTTTTAAAGTGCAAACACTTACTAAACTGGCGGTAAATCCATAATATATTGTTTGCTTTTCATCAAAGGGTAAACAGTAATTGCTTTAAGTTAACAAATTCTTATTTGTCGAAGGAACGTTATTATTCCCCTTTATAGAAAATTCACATAACATCCCAAATTTTTGAATTCATGTATATGACTATAAAGCCTATCTTTATAATATCTAAAATATTCAATACAGTCTGTCTAATTCAACCCCACGGCCTTATTAAAGTAAATTTTAAGCATTAATTTTGCTAGTTTAAATTAAATGTTTAAAAGTATACGAGATGAGAGGAGATTTTAGAGCTGACTATCTGTTTCCTGATATGAATTGTTCCCTGCAACTGTTAACTTGCTTCGTTCTTTGTAAAATCAATATATAAACCACTATATTTAAGGACTTAATTTACCCTTGGAATCTTCATATTAAGACAATTTCAGGTCGTCTGTACAGTCACATCTTTTGTGGGTAACCCTGTATTATCAAAATTATGATAAACAACAAATAGGCCGTCAAATTTGCAAAGAAATCTTGAAGGTTCACATATCTCTGAAAATGGCTTGAATTCCATTCCGTTTTAACACGTTTAAAATTTACATTCACGAAAAATATGTTTGTTTTTTCTAAGAGAATATGACAGAACAAAATTTTTTTTTCATGGTTCATGACGGTTTTCTTTGAACCTTAATTGTCTCTAAGCTTGAGCCTTCAGGGATAGATATAAACCATGTCTAAAGGCCTTTCAGCTTTTCTTGACAGAAGTATACAATAAAACAATACAATACAATACAATACAATACAATACAATACAATACAATACATTACAATACAATACAATACAATACAATACAATACAATACAATACAATACAATACAATACAATACAATACAATACAATACAATACAATACAATACAATACAATACAATACAATACAATACAATACAATACAATACAATACAATACAATACAATACAATACAATACAATACAATACAATACAATACAATAAAAATGTTAACTAAAAAATTCAATATCCTTGGCGTATCAGTGTGCAGCTGAATCATCATTAATGTTTACTTAACAATGTCGATGTCAACTTATAAATTATACTTTTAAAAATTGGTTTCTAACTGTTTTTATCAAACAAACAACAAATTCAATAAATAAGAATTCATTTGCATAATTGGATTAATTTCGATTTAAAAATCATATTGAATTAAGATTTATTTACTTTTAAGGAGTTGAGTCCTTGCCAAAAAAACCAAATTTTCTAATGCCTTTATTTTTTTATACCTGATAGAAACCTTTGATATTTAAACTTAGTTTATTTGACATAACAGAATTCATAGTTTGAAATATATAAGGTCAACGACATTGGGTTGCAAAGATTTAGAGATTAGGGAATCGAAAGTTTGTGTCAAAGACTCAATTTCTTTGTTTACAAATTGATTGTTTGTTTAGGAACAGTAGAGCTAGTCTGATTATCACCCATGAGGATGGAACAGTGGAAGAAAATCCAGCAAATGTTAAAACTATTCGACTCTCTCAAGAGGAAAGATAAATTTTTCGTTGAATTAGGTTGCAATACGAGATACATCTTAAGAGACTGCCATGAAATTTTATGTGACCTTTTAATTAAGAAGGAAGATGCCCGATGGTAAGGGTCTTGTTGTTAATCTGAAATGTCACTATTTAAACGGAAAGTCTGTTCAAATTACCCCTGAGAATGAGAGATGTCTTTTTTAATGAAAATCAGTATTTTTTACGTTTTTGAGTGGGAACTGTTATTTTACTTTATAATCCCAAGAAAGAGTTAAAGGGACCGTTCACTTATTTGGGTAATTTCAGGGTAAACTAAACAGCTTATTCGCTATTGGCAATAGTCTTACTTTTTAAAGACAACTGTGGCCGGAGAAAAAGCTGATTTTTCGTTCAGAATTTGAGAGGAAAGGGACCCTCTCTATAGACACTATTTGATGTTTTTATAAGTATTTTGTGGATTAAAATAAATTTCGAATATAAAATTAAAGTGTAGTATCTAATCGTTGACTGTAGATGTCATAATTTTTTTAATAATTTTGTTTTTTAACTTTCTATTTCTAAAATAACACTGTTTTATCGCATTCAAAATTGTGTAAAAAGCTGAAGAGAAACTCGGCAGATTTTCCGCCAAACATTTTCAGTATATGGATCAACCATGTCCCCAAAATTTGGGCTAAACCAATATATTTCGTTTTTTTATAACTCGGAATAATTTCCGAGCAAAGGAATTGACTCTTTGCCACAAACTCTGATATTCTAATCCCAATATCTTTGGAACCCAATGTCGTAAACCTTTGATATTTCAAACTTATATTTTTTAACCTAACAAAAGTCATAGTTTGAAATTTCAAAGGTTTACAACGTTGGAATCCAAAGATATTGGGATTAGAAAATCAGAGTTTGTTGCAAAGAGTCAATTCCTTTTCATATTTTTAGCGACTTTACAGCAGAAACATATATTTAAAAAAAAGTAAATAATTAATCTTGTTTAGAGTATTTTGAACAACAAACTGACTATTGAAGAATATATCAGGAATGCTGAACCAAATGATTCATAATTTGTATAAACTCATTTATTTTCATGTATATTTGGTTTGTCTTTTTTGTATTCATAAACGTCTAAATGACTGTACTAACCCCAGGTTTATGGCGAGTCAAAAAAAAGTATAGCCGAAGAAAAATTTAAAATTTTAAAGAAGATTAAGAATCTACAAATTAAAAATAGAAGAATCCGCGAAAATGTTTTTTTTATTATTCCAAAATGTATCAAACAGAGATGAAATAGAGCTTATTTCTAGAAACCAAAAACTCGAAACCTGTTGAAGACCAATTGCTATATTGTTAATTAGTTAATTAATTTTATCTTTAAATAAGTTATGGGTTGAATTTGAAAACTTACTTCAATAAACAATACAAAGAGGCCCTTTAAATCTACTTTCTAAAATTCTTCTGAATCAAATTTCCAGATTGTTCCCACCTCGAACAATGATTTGTTGATGTTCATTTGTTGGTATATAGTCCAGTAGTGAGTTCGGACGAGGAGAGGGATGAGACGGGAGATCAGATTTCACAGGTTCGGAGATATCTAAACATGTATCAGAGCTGATATTTACTCTTATATTTCTTAGTTATTCAGCTGATGTTATCAGATATCTAAACATGTATCAAAGCTGATATTTACTCTTATATTTCTCAGCTAACCAGCTGATGTTATCAGATATCTAAACATATATCAGAGCTGATATTTACTCTTATATTTCTCAGCTAATAAACTAATGGTATCAGATATCTAAACATATATCGGAGCTGATATTTACTCTTATATTTCTCAGCTTATAAGCTGATGTTATCAGATATTTAAACATGTATCAGAGCTGATATTTACTCTTATATTTCTGAGCTTATCAGCTGATGTTATCAGATATCTAAACATGTATAAGAGCAGATATTTACTCTTATATTTCTCAGCTAACCAACTGATGTTATCAGATATCTAAACATATATCAGAGCTGATATTTACTCTTATATTTCTCAGCTTATCAGCTGATGTTATCAGATATCTAAACATATATCAGAGCTGATATTTACTCTTATATTTCTCAGCTAATAAGCTGATGTTATCAGATATCTAAACATGTATCAGAGCTGATATTTACACTTATATTTCTCAGCTTATCAGCTGATGGTATCAGATATCTAAACATATATCAGAGCTGATATTTAGTCTTATATTTCTCAGCTAATAAACAGATGGTATCAGATATCTAAACATATATCGGAGCTGATATTTACTCTTATATTTCTCAGCTTATCAGCTGATGGTATCAGATATCTAAACATGTATCAGAGCTGATATTTACTCTTATATCTCAGCTTATCAGCTGATGGTATCAGATATCTAAACATACATCGGAGCTGATATTTACTCTTATATTTCTCAGCTTATCAGCTGATGTTATAAGATATCTAAACATGTATCAGAGCTGATATTTACTCTTATATTTCTCAGCTCATCAGCTGATGTTATCAGATATCTAAACATGTATCAGAGCAGATATTTACTCTTATATTTCTCAGCTTATCAGCTGATGTTATAAGATATCTAAACATGTATCAGAGCTGATATTTACTCTTATATTTCTGAGCTTATCAGCTGATGTTATCAGATATCTAAACATGTATCAGAGCAGATATTTACTCTTATATTTCTCAGCTTATCAGCTGATGGTATCAGATATCTAAACATTATCAGAGCTGATATTTACTCTTATATTACTCAGCTTATCAGCTGATGGTATCAGATTATCAGAGCTGATATTTACTCTTATATTACTCAGCTTATCAGCTGATGGTATCAGATATCTAAACATATATCAGAGCTGATATTTACTCTTATATTTCTCAGCTTATCAGCTGATGGTATCAGATATCTAAACATGTATCAGAGCTGATATAAATTCAGTTATGCATTTATTTAAAAAGGAATTGAGTCTTTGGAACGAATTCCAATATTTAAACCACAATATCTTTAGAACTAGATGTTGTAAACTTTTGATATTTCAAACTCAGATTACTTAATCTAACAGAACTCATAGTTTGAAATAGGTATGCAACATTTGGTTCCAAAGATTAGAAAATCAGAGTTTGTGGCAAAGACTCAATTCATTTACAGGAGAACAGAGAAAGAATAAAACGTGGAAGAGAGAATACAGAATATATAGATGAAGATGGAAGTGAGGAGGAAAGAAGAAAACTAATTAAGATTATCAGGTAAAAAAACTAATTAAAATTTTCATTTTTAATGTTTAAATTCATTAAGTTAAAGTTTAAAATGTTTTGTAAATTGTAAATACTGCCATGTTTTAAAAACAAACTTTTGATTTTCGATTTGATCTAGAACTATCTGAAACATATTCATTCAGATATAAAAAATATAAACATACTGAATATTGCCTTTAAGTCAGTATCTTTAAAATAACTTTTTAATATTAGAGATCTTGAAAATATTTTGTAAAATCATAAAGTAAACGATGAATAGAAAGAAGAAAGGAAACTCAAATTTTTTAAAAACTGCATTCAATTCCTAGAAACATTTACTGGAACGAATCCAAAATAAAGAATGACGCAAGAATATTGTGTGCAAGAAATTCTACTGCATCTCCGAATATAATTTATATATATATATATTTCCTAAAGTATCCTGAAGAATGCCTTGCATGAAACATAATGTCGATTTTACAATTTTCGTTCCTCTACAGTCAACACAGTCTTTTTGTATTGAGCCAATTCCAAAAATAAATTACTAGCCTCAAACTCTAATCTCATATCGTCATATATCTGGATCCTTGATTTTTCAATCTTTGACTATTCGATCCAGCAGAATTTGTATTTCGAAATATCCAAGGTCTACTATATCAGGTTGCAAAACTATATACAATTGATAGTTACGGCGAAAAATCAGGTTCAATTATTAATTCTTAACAATTGTTGCGATATGTTTCATTTCTAAGAAAGGAGTGTGCTAAACTTAAGAATGCTCAAGAGTCGTGCAATTTTATTCTGTAAAACACCTTAAATAGTTTTCAAAACGAAGCCATTATTATTATTAATTCCCCTGCAACATCATAACATGTTAAAATTTTAGATTTATTATTTACATATAAAGGAATTGTGTCTTTGCCACAAACTTAAATTTTCTAATGCCAATATTTTTGCAACTTGAAGGTGTAAACCATTGATATTTCAAACTTAGATCATTTGATCTACCTGAATCCATAGTTTGAAATATCTAAGATCTAACCGTTGGGTTGTTAAGATATAGGGATTAGAAAATTAGAGTTTGTTGCAAAGACTCAATTCCTTTGGTATTTATCAAAACAACTTTTCAGGCACTTGATTCTATTGTTTATTTTTATTACAATTGAACGCATATTTTATCTTGTATTTACACAAGTGAATATACACTAGAAGTTGATTTTTAATGTCTCTATGGTATAAATTAATATAATTGGCAAAGTGCTAGGTGACACCTATGACCTAGTTTAAAGTTTATATTACAAAACTTTAATGTAATCAACTGATGAGAAAGTATATCTGAAAACTGCGCAAAAAAACATTTAGACAATTGAAGTTTTTACATTTTATCAGATAGCCTGACATTCAACAATAAAAGGGGCGTTGTATTTTAGTAGAGGAAGGGGAAACAGGGGGGGGGGGTCAATATCTTAAAGTTTGAGTTGTGGTTCATTCTAATTTGTTGAAACCTTTTTTTTTGTTTTTGAAAAGTTTTCTGGTGAGATATATCTGTTTACCCTTTCAGTGGAGAAACAAGTTAACCCTCTGTCCTTGTCAGTCCTAGATACTGCAGTTATAGTCAAAACTTCAAACTCAATAGTCATTAACTTTTGTTCAGTTTAATCTCAAACTTTGTATTCAAATGATTATACAAAGCTTCAAACTTAATACTCATCAACTTTTGAAGCTTTGTATTCAAAATCATTTTTATTTAAAACTTCAAACTCAATGCTCATCAACTTTTGAAGCTTTGTATTCAAAATCATTTTTATTTAAAACTTCAAACTCAATGCTCATCAACTTTTGAAGCTTTGTATTCAAAATCATTTTTATTTAAAACTTCAAACTCAATGCTCATCAACTTTTGTGCTGTTCAAATTATACCTCTGTACTCATTTTTTTTATTATAAGTTCAAACTTCAAACTCAAAAATCATCGATGTTTTTTCATCTAATAGTTATACTTTATACTCATAACATTAGTTCAAATCAATGATAAACATTAAACATAAAAGCCAAAGTAAAGAAACTTTACAAAGGGCTTTGCCTTTATGCCTTCATGCTCTATTCACATGTGTGATTTTTCAGAGCTCAGTCGGAGAAACTATATGAACCTAGGCCTAATAATACAAGATTAGAGAGAGAAGGTTTGAATTATATTTATAATTTTGAATCATAGAACTAAAAATTTGGAACCGCATATAGTAATAAAAACAATTTTTTTGGAAAACAAAACCAAAAATAATTCGTTTTCTAGGTTTTTCTTTTTCTTTATACTTGCGTGCTTACAATATTTGACTTTAAGTTTACTTTTTATGAAAACCTCTCTTTATAAATTCTATTTTAATTGAATTGTTTGATAAAGGAAGGTTCCGGAATGAATTTAGCACATGTGTTGATGAAAGTATTCCCGCCAAATCTACAACAATAGAATTCAACTTCCCAACCTCTCCGAACTACGAGAATTCTACCAAGTTTATAATACCAGGGAGGAGAGAGAACTCCAGTCCTGCCAGGATATCTGTAGAAACTTTAACTGAACCGGGAGTACATGGATCCAGACCTGGAATATCTGTAGAAACTCAAACTTCCGGTTTAGAGGAAAATCCACGAACATCTGATACTTGCATAAAAACAGCTGATTCTAAACATATTAGTGAAGCCAGTATACTAGTTGCTGATTTAGGAAAACAGTTAATATTGACCGAGAGTAAAATAAGTGAACCTTTTATAGTCTACACCCCCACATACACTTTCAGAACTTCTCCGCCCAAGGATCTAACTGCCACACCCCTTCCTGGCCAGGTTGGAGAGAAACCAAAGAAGAATGACAAAGAAGATTTTGAAGATCTGAAGAATAAAGAAACTATTTCTACTGAAGGATATACCGCTGATAAACTTACTTCTCATCACTTTAATACTCAAGGTACATATATAAACAATACTCACAAATATACAGGGTCAGAGAAAATATTTTGTTAATTTCTTTTAATACGCCAAAATAGGAAAAAAGTTTAGAAAGTTTTCTTTACATTGTTATTTACAAGTAAATGATTTCAGCAGAAGTTGATGCAGTAGAGGTGTCTAGTGAACCCGGTGTAGTAAAGAAATCTGTTATTAGTGGAAGCCCTGTTCGAGTACAAACTCTTGAAATCCGCGAACTCATTCCTAGTCCAGACATCACAGACTACGTGTATACCAATGTAAACCAAAACTTGCGTGAAACTATAATAGTGGAAGAAAATATACCGACAGTGGAGAAAAGTTCACCGCTAGCCGAAGAAAGGAGGATCAGCAATATATCAGAGAAGAAAGAACCTCGCCTTGGTTCACACCCTCTCCAGGATACTGTAGATGAATCTCAAGATGAAATTATATCTGTTACATCGGTGACAAGTAACGAAGACGACTATAGATCAGCTTCTCTAGGTAATTAAATTAAATTGTACAATTATACATAGTTTAGAAGAAATTCATGGAAATCAACTGAAAATCTATAAAAGAAATCAAAACAAGTATTTACCATTCAAGGAAAAATTGTTGACAACTAAATCTAGTCCAATTTATTCCAAACTAGCTCTGTTTTTGCCTTTTATAAAAATTCCATTTACCCCCCCCCCCCTCTGTAAGAAGAATGTATTCATATTATGGGATTTGCAGTGTGGTTCATAGACTGCACTAGGCCTCGATTTTCAACAAGTGTTTAAATATCGATCTTTTAGGAGATACAACTTGGAGCCCAGAACCCACAGATACACATTGGAGCCCGCCCAGGGCTAATTCTACAGTAGGAGATTGGAGCCCGCAACCTTCGGATTGGAGCCCCAACAAAATGGGAGACGTTTTAGAAACATCGTTCGAATTTGTGAACATTGAGGAAAGCGTTGATAATATCTTCTTTTTGAAAGTTTTAAACTCAGATTTATGGATAACCGTTATTTTTGCATTTTAAGGTAATGTTAGTCTAAAAAACGATGGCATATATAACTTGCGCCCTCTTAAATGTAACAAATCAATGACCGTTGTTTTGCTTTTGTGTACTGTGGGAATAAAAGTTTGTATTTGAGATAAATATAGATTTCGGCCAGTTTTTAACTATAAAATAAATGTTTGCAGAGTAAGCAATTGTATTCAAATATAATTAAGAAAAATATGCACATCCGTTCTGAACAATTTTCTTTTACATTTGTCCATTTTGACCGATTCAAGAGAAAAGTTCTCCGATCACATTTTGATAAATCTAAATGTGAATTATTGCATCACTTTGCAAAACAAACTGGCCTAATATTTTTTTACCTATAGAGTTGGTTTAAATGAGAGCTCTGTTACATGAATGATTCCTACACATGTAGTAATTATAGAAAATGTGTGAACGTAGGAAAGAATTGTTTACAGCAGTGAATAGTGAGAACAAAGATTTGTCATATTTAAACTTTTTTCTTTTTTTACATATCAACCCAGATACTTTCTCGAGAAAACAAACTTATGCTTCTCATCTTATCTTAGCCAGAAACAATTGAAATACAGAAAATGCAATTTATGTTTACATTGAAGTTTTATTTTCTTTACAACAAGTTGGCCTAAATAATGTTTTGTCAACGTTTTTAGATTCATTTTTTTTAAATTCAAAACGTTAATGATAACATTAAACAGGCTTTAAAAAAATCTCAATTTAAAGGGAGTGTTCGTGAAAAATGAAAGGGGGTATAGGCTTAATGCGATAAAAAAGCGCTTTTGATCGCTACTAATCTTACTTCTATCTGTTGCGTCTATAAGGAGAAAATTGTAAAGACGTCTCATACCGAATACCTTAGCATCCATACAAATTCAGAAAATTGTAACATACTACTTAGACCGTAAAAATCAATTTAATTTCAAACAAATCATTCAGATATTACAACCTATAGTCATCGATTATCTTTCGCCACATTTGTATATAGTTTATATTTTATAATATTTTTTAATTTATTTTTTTTATATTTTATTTTTTAGAAAAGATTTTTAACGGATTTCGAAAAATGTGAATGGTGCGCGGCATTCTTAGATAGTTGCGCAAGCGACAAGAGAAATAAAATTAGAAAATTATAAAATATAAACTTTATACAAATGTGGCGAAAGATAATCGATGACTATAGGTGAACACTCCCTTTAACATAAAAACATTACAAGAGATATTTAGGTTTTGGAGGTCTTTGGAAAAAGATATATATAAAAAATATCTTAAACCTTTTGTTTTCCAAAAATGTTGACAAGAAAAATTCTATATTTGATCGATTTATTAACATTTTGTACTAGGAGGATGTGACGGATGATAAACAAGATAAAGAAAGGTAACATTTTTAAAATTATTAATACATTTTTGGAACTCTCATTGGCATAGTTATTGATAATTTATAGTTTAAAATACGGATGGCCTCGGACATCAAGTTAAATAATATAAGATTAAAAAATTAGGAACCTGTCTCGAGAAGTAATTTTCTTTCTGTTGCAGATTTAAACCAAGTGAAGGACTTGTATTGAAAATACCAATTCACATTGAAACCGTCCAATCTACTTCAAGAACTCCAACTCCAACACAGCTGCTGAATAGTACTCCAACTATTTCTAGTTCTACAACTCCCATCCAACTATTAAAAAGGACTCCAACTACTCCTATACCAGAATATCCTATGTTCACTAAGGTATCCTCTAGTCCTCCCTCTAGTAATAGAATCCAACCTGATAACAACCCGTCTGTTTATAGAAACAGTAACAGTCATAATATCACAGCAATGAACAACAATATCAGAATCACAAATAATAACAAAAACATCACTGATGATAACATCACAATTCAAACTGAAAAGAGCAAACACACAGGAAAACCTAATCTGTTTGATAATATTTAGAAACTAGTTAGTCGCCTCAAATTCTTATTTTCTAATCCTTAAATCTTTAAATTTCCTGGTGGTACACAAATAGATTATCAAGTACAATAGGTGGCAACAGAGAATTTAACCAATTATACACTACGTCACAAGTGTCAAATATAACAAGGAAAACGAAATTTTCTCACATTAGTTGACATGTTTTCCAAGATTAAATAAAAAAGTGTAAAAACAGAAACTAAAGAACACATTAAATTGCACTTATTTTATTGTAAGAAAAGCACTTTATTCTAAAATTATCACTATTATTGATGATTTTGTCGGACACAAAAACTGAATTGAAACTTGTGACGACAGAATACAACTGTACTGAGAGTGTACAAATTCTACGTTGCCATCTATTGAACTAGAATCTATTTGGCGGTACAAACCTTTTATATCTTAAACCAACAAAATTCGTAATTTGGAAATTGAATTATTTATGACATCTGGAACCGAATTGATTGAATCTGAGCTTCGTCGCTGAACTTTAAATTTATTAAAGTCAACCCATGGTTAAACTAATGAGTTAGGAAAGTAATCAATATTGGATTGGGTTATATAGAGCCTGAAAAGATGGCTGTAAGGATTGTTCCTATAGTTCTACACACTGGGAAAACAATAGGTAAACATTTCAAAATTTAACATAATCTCTTAATTGTTTGAATTAGAGAAAATTCACCGAAAATAAAGAGCGTCCCATATCATATTGGATCATCTCCAAGCTTAAAAGCCAAAATACTCGAAAAACCATCGTTGTTTTACGTGACATGCAGCAAAACATAGTTATTAAAACTAAAATATATATTTTGCTGTTTCAGATATGCTCTTCTTTTTTCTTATTTAGTCATGTATTTTAGAAACTACTGGGGGAAGGGACTCCTCACAAACAAAGGTAGAATAATGCAATAGGTTTTAAGCAAGGAGTAAGGAATAGAAGGGAGATATAACTGACGCGATCCACCCTACCATATGATTATACATGCTTTGCTGACGGGTACTCCATTTATATAAGAAATATTTGTCTGATGTACAATTACCGCGTATACAATAACCTATTTTGAATATTTTTTATACGAATGGAGTACCCGTCTGCAAAGCACGCATAATCATATGGTAATGCGAACCGCGTCAGTTATATCTTCCTTCTATTCCTTACTCCCTGGTTTTAAGATACATTTCGCCACCTTTTAAACAACATTAGCGACCAATGATTCCCCCCAACAGAGGGAGGTCTAATTGTTAAATTTTGCTGAACCACAGGATTCCTTGACCAATTTAGGCAACAAAACATTCAGAGCGCAGCAAAATTAGTCAATTGGGTAGTGGGTACCCTTGGTGAAGTAAAATGCCTTTATCTTCCAGTAGTTGTTGGATCTACAACAAATAAACAAATCCTGGATAAACAACCTGAAATTTTTAAGCGTACTTTGTAATTCTGAATCATTTGAGGGTGTTCGAGCTTCCAAACAAATTGTTATGATCGATATCTTTATCCTGCATCATCCATGTGTAACATTTGAGTTTTTCCTCATATTTTTGTTGCATTTTGCCTCAAGTTTTGAATGGGGAACTCGGGTAAACCACGGGAATGTTCTTAGCTTGATTTTGTGATTCATTAAGTTGAGTGGGTCGACTTCAATAGCGAAAATTTAGTTTCCCGATAAAATCGTTCAAGTGCGGGTGAACGGCGGGAGTAACTTTTAGTACCCGGTTGGCAACGCTGGGTTCCCAAGCTAGTTCTTTATAAAAATGATTATAATTTTGTTAAATAGGCAGAAGAGATTCTTACTGCAGAGTCTTCTGTAAATAAAGAAGATGATAATACTATTCGAGTTCAAATGACAAGGAATACATAGTATTAGTATTTAGTGAAGTATTATTTTCTTGCTTTTACATATATTTTACATATTATTTAGTTGAAAACCAAACCAAATTAAAGCGAAGAAAATAATTGAAAATAATAATACGAGATTATTTGTTGCTCAGTGTTTAAAGAGCAAGTCACGTTTAGTTCAATTTAGATCATTTTTTTTGAGAAAATTATTTTTAGGAAATATCAAGTTAACAATGTCCTTCGTATAGAAAATTGAAACGCCCATTGTGGAATCAACGATATTGTCATTATGCTTTTACATTGTCACAAGTGTATTTTATTTCTATTTATAATTCTAAAGAAGGAGAAGGTCAAATTGGTGGTATGACTTTGTGACAAAAGTGCCTCCTCTTTTTTGATTTTACGCACAAGAATTAGAATAACAAAAGAATTGAGTCTTTGCCATAATTATAATCCCTACATCTTTGCAGCTCATTGTGGTAAACCTAAGATATAGAAAAATGTGGTAAATCTAAGATATACAAAAATTTGGTAAACCTAAGTTATAGAAAAATGTGGTTTAGCTAAGATATAGAAAAATGGGGTATACCTAAGATATAGAAAAATGTGGTTTAGCTAAGATATAGAAAAATGTGGTATACCTAAGATATAGAAAAATGTGGAAGACCTAAGATATAGAAAAATGTGATATCTAAGATGTAGAACAATGTGTGGTATACATATTACGTAGAAACTGTTAAATATATTAATACTACCTGTATGAATAGAAGCATTGAGGGGGAAGAAGGAATATATTTTAAAACATCTCAGATAAAAGAATCAAACAACAACAACAACAATCCTCCTCAAAAGGACAACAACAACATGCAACATCAAGATGCTCCTGAGAATAGAATAAGTAGCACCTTTGCCTCCAAGAAGCACAAGGTGGATGAGGGTGTGAATAGAACCAGTGAGGGTGTTACTAGTCCAGAACCAATAAAGGAGGAACATGGACTAACTCGAAATATTCCGATTCTTTTAGAATCTGGGCAGCTTGTATCTCCATCTTTCAAACAACTAGAGGTAACTCAGGGGGAGTAAAGTTCGTAATCGGGATTTTTCCAAAAGTTGGCACTGATTGCCAATTTCAGATCAAGGGCATCGTTGCAAAGTAAATTTTAAATATTCGCTCAACTTTTCCAAAAATTTCAGCTGATCTCAAATGGTGCCAGTACAAACGTCGGACGGTTATACAAACGTCGGGCAGGACAAACCTCGGACTGGTACAATCGTCGGACTAGTACAAATGTCGGACTAGTACAAACGTCAGACCAGTACAAACGTCGGACTAAGGAAAAAAATGTTTGAATTTTAAGATTTAAAAAAAAGTTATTTCGTTTAATATCGACTGGTCTAAGAAAAATCTACACAAAGGAACTGAGTTCTTGCCACTAACTCAAATTTTCTCATCCCTATATCTTTGCAAACTGGTAATAGTATTAACATTCGATACTTTCAAACTGAAACTGTTTGATCTGATAGATTTCATAGGTTGAAATATTAAATGTTATACGACGTCGGATTGCAAAGATATAGGCATTGAAACATCAGAGTTTGTGACAATTGAACTCAAATCCTTTTCAGTTTATTGTTTTATACAGAGTTGCCTTGAAAGGATGATACTTTATTTAGTTGTCTTTGATTTTCATCACAATGAGTGAGTGATTTTTTATTTTTTTTTATATAAATAGTCTTTTTCCAAACTCAACCAAAGTCCGACTTTTTCCTTTTAAATGTACCCGTCCGACGTTTGTTCTGGTCCAACGTTTGTACTAATCCGAGGTGTACCAGTCCTACGTTTGTACCAGTCCTACGTTTGTACCAGTCCTACGTTTGTACCAGTCCAATGTTTGTACCAGTCCTACGTTTGTACTAGTCCAACGTTTGTAGCAGTCCTGCGTTTGCACCAGTCCTACGTTTTCACCAGTCCTACGTTTGTACCAGTCCTACGTTTGTACCAGTCCTACGTTTGTACTAGGCCTACGTTTATACCAGTCCTACGTTTGTACCAGTCCTACGTTTGTACCAGTCCTACGTTTGTACCAGTCNATTGTCTACCAATTGTAGCTTCACCTACGTTTGTACCATTCCGAGGTTTGTACCAGTCCGACGTTTGTACTAGTCCAACGTTTGTAGCAGTCCTGCGTTTGTACCAGTCCTACGTTTGTACCAGTCCTACTTTTGTACCAGTCCGACATTTGTACCAGTCCGACGTTTGTACCAGTCCTACGTTTGTACCATTCCGAGGTTTGTACCAGTCCGACGTTTGTACCAGTCCGACGTTTGTAAGTCCGACGTTTGTACTGTCCGACCTTTGTACTGTCCGACCTTTGTAGCGTCCGACGTTTATGGGTCTGAGGTTTGTACTAGTACCGCTCAAATAATTCTCAAGATTTTGATTTAGATTTTAAAATATATTTTATTTATTCTTACAACCAAAGTTAAAGAATATAAAATGATAAATTAAAGGGATTATTGTTAACCGGGCATTGCGATCTTTGAATTAAGGGTCAATTAAAATTACGCTTACAGTTTCTTCAGGAATTAAAAGTTTTTTTCTCTCAGGATCTTAAGCCCCCTCCTTGGTCGGTCTTTCATCACAAGGAAATATTCGCAGACTTTAAAAAAAGATAAAATATACTGTTCTTGAATACCAAAAGATTACTATTCGGAATTCAATTTTGAGGCAAATAGTTCCAGTTATTCATGAGCTATGATTAGGGTTTCCAACTGTTCTTGAATTTTGCGGAATTGTGGNAGAATCTAATGGTCTGATATTTTCTCCATTCTGCTTATTAAATCTGGAATATCGAGAAGGGATCTGAGGTAGAGAGACGTGTTCCAATCCAGGTAGAAGCTGATGTTCATACTCAACCTGGACCCGGAGATAGGGATGGATCAAAGAACCGTCCATTCATCCCATCTAACTCTCAGAAAACTTCTCAACCCAAAGCAGGCATCCAGCCAAATCCTGGATCCAAAGTGGAACCTGAATCTAGACCCAATCCTGGGCCTAAAGTTGATCCTGAACCTGGATTCAATCCTGCATCTAAAACTGAAAGTAAACCAAAGCCAAGTTCAGATTTCTTTTTTTCGAAGAGAAACCCGACTGCAGCCGTGTATTCTGAGAAGGTAAGGACTGTGCAGTACACTAAAGTACAATGCAGTACACTGTACCGGTTTACCAACTAAGTATGGGAATGTAAATACGACCTGAAACTCTTTAAATATGACGTTTCCATGGTAAAATGAAGTACTATGAATATCGTCTTTTTAAGACCTTTTTAAAATTTGGTAAAGAAATAAAAAAATAGATTTTAAAGAAACAAACAGTGTTAATTACGCACAGTCGTCTCTGAAGTCTTATCCTTTGTGGGTAACCCTGTAGTATTATTCATATTTCTATTGCCTGAAAAAAGTATTAAAAATATAAAAAAATAAAAAAATTATATTCTAACCTTAAAGACTACCTAAACGCAATACATGATATTCACCTCGAAGGAGCACTCTCATGTTTGACATTATAACCGTAAATTTTTTTATTTGGATTTTTTATAATTTTTTTTAATGCATAGAGAAGGGTACAGAGCGGTAAAAAGGCCAATCCGTGTAAAAAAAGTCTAAAGTAAACCGTAAATTTTTTGTGATTAAAGCTACAAATCTAAAAACTATAATTCTTAAAAACCCTTGCAAAATCGATAAAGAAAAATATGCCACATCTTGATATGTGTCTTAAAAAAATTATTTTTTACTTTTTTACGCTTTTTTGGCCTTTTTTTCAACCCTCCTTTACACCCAAACGATAAAAGTTATCGGTCAAATTTTTTTTTCAATGAGCTGGCCTTGAAAAATTGGGCAATAAACATCTTAACCCTATACCTTTACTCTAAGGCCTTTCCCCCACCCCCTCCTCCCCGGCTATATATACATTCAGACTCCCCCGCCTTTACAGGGTTAAGCTTATTATTTTATTAAAAGGAATGTCGGCATAATTTCAAGTTACCTTTTACAGAGGTATCCTTAACCCTTTATTGGATTAAAAATTGCTCAGACAACGGTTTAAAGTGAACCCTTGTAAATCGGGCATGTCATTCTAATCTATGGAGGGCCACTTCAAATTACGTCTACAGTTCTTTTAAAGAGTGACAAAAGAAAAATGCATTTTATGATACAACTTCTGATGGAGTTAATTGATAGATTATTATATATCTAATAAATAATCTTATTGTATCTACATCTGTAGACAGAAGAAGTAGTTACTGAGAATAGAACCCGAGAATGTCGAGAGGAGCGAAGGGAAAGATCTTGCAGTAGAGAACCAACCTGGAAACATCAAGCAGGTAAATCAAGTGACTGGGACGTACTTTAAACCATTTATTTAAAGGGACTGTACATGCCTGATTCATAACTTACCTTTATCATTATATCTATTTAACTCATTGTCTCTTTTTACTCTATTATCGTTCGTATCAACAATATTACCGTACGTATTAACTCTATAAAGGCTGAGGGTCTAAATCTATGTACAAGCCTGGGGGGGCTATCGGCGCCCCCCCCCTCCTAGAAAAAGGCCTTAGAGAATAGGTATAGGGTTGAAATGCATGTTCAAAGCTCAATTTTTCAGTGCCAGCTCATAGAAAAAATTAGATCGAAAAACCGGGTCATTAATCGATGACTTTAAGTTTATTTATTTGAAATTAAATTGATATTTTACGATATGACTCGTAAATTGCAACTTTCTGAATTTGCATGGAAGCTACGTTCTTCAGTATAAGTCGTTTTTAACAATTTTTTCCTTATAGACTCAACAAATAGAAGTAAGATTAGTATCGATCAAAAGCGATTATTTTTCGCCGTAAGTCTATACCCCCGTTTATTTTTCGCGAACACTCCCTTTAATTCTATATTACCGTCTGTATTAAATCTAGGAGAAGAGTCCAGAAAAGATTTAAACCTTGAGAAGGATGAATATACTCAACACCTGGACCAAATATTTGATAAGGTCTCATTCATTGTTTTATTAAAATAGTTATAACACCAATTATATATTTCTTAAAATTTTATGAAAGTTTTTTTTAGATCTTCTTAATAATATTTCATACAATCATTTGTGTTTTGCGAAGCAATATAAAGTATCATAGTTAATTAACAAAATATTACAAATCTTATTTTATCAATTATCAATAAAAGAACTTTTACATAATTTGTAGAATCATATTAAAAAATCATAATAAGTTGACAAATTTTAAATTTTTTTGCACCCCTTGAAAGTGTAAAACCTTACTATTTTAAATATTTTGTCTGACAAAAAATTATTTTATTTTGCTTTAAAAAAATTGTCTACCAATTGTAGCTTCAAAGATATAAACATATTTTTTTCAATATATGTTTCTTCCAGTATGAGGAGCAAAGACGAAGCCAGGATAGAGAATCAAACTTTGATGAAATCTTGACAAAATCCCCTTTCGCAGATTCTTTAGGTAATCTTAAAATTTTTGTATTTTTATCAAATAAATAGTAATTTCTGAAAATATTATAGAAATTGAAGAGAGAGTAGAAACAAAAGTCATTAATGAGATTTTCTATAAGGAATATATAAATCTGAAAACTTGATATTGTTTAAGACTCGGAGGATTACCCTAATGTGACCCATTCTTCCAAAACAGAGTTTATAACTTCAAGATCAGAATATTCTACAGAATCTATAGAACAGTTTAGTACAGGTAGACTATAAATAGATCTTCTAGAATATTCTACAGAATCTAATAGAACAGTTTAGTACAGGTAGACTATAAATATATCTTCTAGAATATTCTACAGAATCTATAGAACAGTTTAGTACAGGTAGAGACTATATATACCAATTTCAGAATATTCTGCAGAATCAATATAAAATTTTATTTTTTAATTAAAGGCAAAGATATGCAATGGAAATAGTTTTAAGCTTTCAAAATTCAGAAAATCTTCTATTTTGGCACTTTTGCACTTCAATAAATTAGTTATATATTTGTGTGTAGTTGGTCCACGTGAGAAGGTTTTGATTATTCCGGTTATGGGATCTAAGCTTCAAACATCACCATCAAGACCTCCTCCAGCCCCCTCAGCACATACAGCTCCATCCAGACCTCCTTCAGCATCCTCAGCTGCGCCTGTAGCTTCTTCAGTTCCATCTGTCAGGAATATTCCTATTCGGAAATATTCAGACTCTCCAGGTATTGGCAAATTTTTAAGGATATCCTTTATATTGATTTGTTTAATGGGAACTTGAGCCAACTTTTCTTGAGTAAGGGTTCTCTATACCAATTTTACTTATAATCCTAATTTATCTAAATGACAGATAGTCATTAAAAGTAAAAAAAAATCAATGATATCTTAGTAAAATATCTTTTATCCTGACAATACAAGTAAAGATATCAATTCAAAAAAGAAAAGTAAAAATTGTAGAAGGAAACCTGACATTGAATTTTAGTTCGTTTACGTTCGGTCATTTAATGTTATCAAACGGTAAACATCACAAGCATGTAGATTGTAGATATGGTAATATGAACCTTTCTGAGATTTCTAATTACTGTCCATTCTAATTCAAATTCATTCAAATCTATCTATCTATCTATCTATACAAACGAAACATGACACGAATGATAAACTGGAAAAAAATGGTTTAATTTCTAATTTTGTTTTCTTGTCAGTTAATGATACAACCCTGCCGTCTGCATGGACTCCTAAACCAAGGCAATCTCCATTATCCAGGTAAAGAATGGGTGATATATCCTAATAAAATATTTGGTAAAGATTTATTCAATTTGATGTGTTCAGGTAACTAAAACAAAAAAACTTATGATAATTTGTTTTCTTATAAGAGTGACACACAGTTTTATCCATAACTATTCTGTTTGTTTTTGTTAATTTGTGCCAAAACTTATGCTTGTAAGAATCTTCATTTAAAACTTTGTTAATTCATTTCAATAACATAATAAATTGATTAGAACCATATACCCATTTGATAAATCAATTAGAGCCAGTTACCCATTTGTTAATATGAAAAGAACTATTGGCTCTTTCGTATAAATTGATTACAAACTATTTAACAATTTCTTAAATTAGTTGGGCCATTGGCTCATTTGAATATAGAACCATTGTCACATTTGTTAAATTGATTGGAATCTTTGAATTGATTTTAATATAATAATCGGTTAAAAACATTGAACTATTTGCTAATTAAGTGGAACCAGATCCCGAAGCCACGACGGTCGAGTAAGAGTTGATGATGCGAAACCAAGATGGCCGACAAACCACGAGGAAACCGCGAAAAAAGAAGCTTTGGATGCATTGAAGAAGGTTCATTTGGAACTGGAAGTGAGTTTCAATAATATTTCACGTAGAACCAAACTTGGTTGGTTTAAATCTAAGCCAATAAGGATATGAACGGTCTAAAGGCGATTGATTACACGTTTTTAAAATTTTGATTTATTTCTTTTTGCATATATAATAAAAATCAAAAATTTAGGCGGCCCGTAGCCGGCTCTCGTCCCAAGTTAATGAGATGAACTCCAGTATTCCAGTCACAAATGTTCCACTGATTTCAAGGTATTAAATGCATATACTAGATAGTATTTTGGAGATTGTTTGACTTCCTCACCTAAACAAATGAAAAGATTACAAAGCTTAAAACCATCAACAAATTCAGTGACGTAACGAGGGGTGGGGAACGAACCGAGATTCGCTCCCCCCCCCCCTCAGCATATTTAGCCCCCCCTCACAGTGACATGGCTCCAGCATGACCATTGAAGATGATTGTAAACCATCTTTTATAAAATTTTGTCCATTAAGAAAAATAAACCAACATTTGTTTTGATAAATTATTCGACAGAAGGGCTTCCCCCCTTGTACCCCACACCCCAGCCCCTTTAAATAAAATTCTCCCCACCCCCCTTCCCTCACAAAAGTGTTATTTGCGCCACTGGCGTAATTAATTTCGTTTTGTTCTTTCTTTTTAGAATGAAGTGTCTCAAAGGATTTGTAATTTGTAATAGATTTAATTCAAATAAAGTGTCTTAAACCTTGCTTACAAAGATATATAATATATCAGTATTTCAGAAATAACAAAACATATTATAAAGTCTTTAGAAACAGTTCATTCCAAAAAAATCATTCTGCTTTTTCTGGTTCCCACTGCAGATGCCTCAGGAGTACCTTTGATACTCACTTGCATCAGTTCAAAACTGTTTTTAATGTTTTTTTTTCTTTCTTCAATTTCAGACCTTACTCCAGCATAGATGAAAGAAATGAAAGAAGTAGAAGTGTAGANGGGGGTCGCGTTACCACTCTTCGAATATAGGGTCGCGTTACCACTCTTCGAATAAAGGGTCGCGTTACCACTCTTCGAATATAGGGTCGCGTTACCACTCTTCGAATAAAGGGTCGCGTTACCACTCTTCGAATATAGGGTCGCGTTACCACTCTTCGAATAAAGGGTCGCGTTACCACTCTTCGAATATAGGGTCGCGTTACCACTCTTCGAATAAAGGGTCGCGTTACCACTCTTCGAATATAGGGTCGCGTTACCACTCTTCGAATAAAGGGTCGCGTTACCACTCTTCGAATATAGGGTCGCGTTACCACTCTTCGAATAAAGGGTCGCGTTACCACTCTTCGAATATAGGGTCGCGTTACCACTCTTCGAATAAAGGGTCGCGTTACCACTCTTCGAATATAGGGTCGCGTTACCACTCTTCGAATAAAGGGTCGCGTTACCACTCTTCGAATATAGGGTCGCGTTACCACTCTTCGAATGAAGGGTCGCGTAAAATTACGTCCATATTCCCTTTAAATGAATTGTGTCTTTGCCACAAACTCTGATTTTCTAATCTTCTATTTCTTTGATCTTATGCCGTAGACCTGATGATACTTCAAACTATGAATTCTGTTGGATCAATAAATAAAAAAATAAAAGGTTTACAACATTAGGTTGCTAAGGTAGAGTGCTTAGAAAATCTGAGTTTTTGGCAAAGATTATTTTCTTTGTTAAATTGATATTGTTAAACTCAAAGGAAAGAGGTTCGGAGCAGTAGAGCAGTAAAGTTGGGTAGAGAGAGATCTCTTCAAGATATAGATAAAGATATTGAAACTATCTGGAGAGAACTTCAGGTAGAGGCTGTTCAATCAAACATAACAGCTGGTCCTTGATCTTTAACATATATTGCGGCGCTAATTCGTCAACAGACTTTAGCATTTGAAATCACAAAATTACACAATTCTTAGAATTCCTAAAATTTGGTCTGCCTTTTCATGTGCTCTAAACATTACCGGAATGTCACTCAGGTTTACATTAAACAAATAAGACAAAAATTGTCTAAATCTGAACAAAATTCGTCTCACCTTAATTATTTTTGAAAGTACGAAAAATGGGAGACCATGTTTTAAAATGCCAGGATTAGAAAATCTTTAACATTTTTAATTCAAGATCTTAGTTCAAAATTTAGATTAACAAACTAATACAGGAAATGAAGATCAAAGACGATTTTTAAGTAATTCGATACAATACAATACAATACAGTACAATATGATACAATACAATACAATACAATACAATATAGTACAATACAATACAATACAATACAATACAATACAATACAATACAATACAATAAAATACAATACAATACAATACAATACAATACAATACAATACAATACAATACAATACAATACAATACAATACAATACAATACAATACAATACAATACAATACAATACAATACAATACAATACAATACAATACAATACAATACAATACAATACAATACAGTAAAATACAATACAATACAATACAATGCAATGCAATACAATACAATACAAATGATGTATTATAATTTCAGGAACTAGATAGACTACCCTTAGATGAAAATACTAGTACTAAAGAAACCTCTTTAAAGTAAGCCTGTTCATCTTATTCAGTAAAACTATAAAACTTGGAATAGGAGAACCACATTTCAGCAATCTTATGTTTACTCGATGTTGAACCAGTAGCTTAAAATAAATTAATTCAGTGAAATGGGTCTGTGAACACTGCGGTTTTTGTGTTTCAAATAGGGGCTTAAATAGAAGTAAATCTAGGGGTAGTCCAAATTTGCGCCAAAAAAACGTTTTGAAATATAAACTGTAAATTCAAAACTTTTGGCTTCTTGGATATCGGGAATAAGTTTAAGATACTTTATTCCATTTTGAGAGAATTATATCCCGTGTATTTTCAATTCTGGATTTTCTAAAAAAAATTGAGAATTTTAAAGTTTTTTTTCGGTTTAAAATGGAATAAAATAATTTAAGCAACTGCCAATTGTGTATAATTAGGGAAATTATTTCACAAGGCAGTTCCATAAATAGATATTATTGTTAGACATTCAAATAGTTTATTTATTATTAAATGTAAAACACGATTGTTAAAACTGTAAACTCTAAAAAAGTACCGGAAGAGCGGAGAACTCATAATCCTGATAGCTTGATATCGATATCCATTCTTCAATTCGATGATCAATGCTTATCAATCCATTTCAGTTATATGATGCGATTACCATGCGGGATATCGAATAAAAATAAAATTGATCTGCAGATTAACAAAAGATCAAGATCATTCATTTATCGATCATGATAGTCACAAGACAAGAGTTTCCTGCTCTGGATATACAGATTACAAAATCTGAAGTTTATTTTTCATGATATGATTTTTTTAGATTTATTATTAATTGATTATATAAAGGAGACTTTTATTCCGCATTTTACCTGAAATATTTCTTCAGGTCAGGGGATAGACCTCCATCTGCCCCTCCTACCCTATCTCAACAGAATCTAGTCACGCCCCCCTGGAGATCAAGAAATAGGTGAGGAGAGTTTAGAAAACGAATATTGAATTACAAAAGTGTTTTTTTCATTAAGTGAATTCTGTCGGACTCTTGAGATTGAAGAAATGCAACAATGTTGTATAAATTTTTTTTTATAAAAATTCATTTATTGAAATTTTAGTATATACTAAGTGCCCGGTCCAGCCGTTTGTTTTTGTGACATATATACATACTGATGATTGCATAAAAGCATGAAACAATTTGTTTATAAATAAAATGGTATAAGTACATTGTTGCGTTTCAACTGATACAATGTTTTATTATATAGATAGATTTGGCTACCATGTCCCTATATTTTGTTTGATATTTAATTCCAAATTTATGTTTGAAATCCGAATTTTTTTTAACCAGGGTTAATTCTCAACCCATTTTTTGTATTAAAAAAGCATATTTATAGTATTGGGACATTTCGTAGATAGAGAATACTTCTTCTTTCTAGCAAATAATTTTATCTCCTTTGTTTTAAATTTCTGAATTAAAACTGTTCAGGACTGCTTCTGGAAATAATACTTCAGACTCTACCCTGTATAAAACTAAATCAACAATAAGGAAGAGTAACAGAATATATTAGAATATTAAATCTGTCCATTTTATAATACTGATACCGTTCAATCTTTTTCCTAGAACGGTTTCCTACAGTTCTTCACTTGATTCTTGTTTGATTTTTTTGAGATTAGACCCGAAGATAAAACTCCATACATAAGACCAAATTGACCCTGCAGAACCTAATTTTTCTTGGGTTTTAGGTCGTCTACAAAGTCATATTTGTATATTTCTTCTCGTCATTATTAATAATAAGAATGTTCTCCCTTTCATCGTAAATCCTGTCAAGGATTGAAAAAATATATACATATAAAAAGTTGTTGTTTTAAGACTGTTAAACCCTGCAGGGACGGTTCGGGGAGATCAGCTCCAGGTTTAGCAAACACACAGAGAACAACTTCTCCGAGTTCTAGAACCATCTGGGATCCTGTATTCACTAGATCTTCAGGCACAACATCTTCAAGAAAGCTAGCAATATATAAAGTAATGTCTTCTTTTGTTTAACTCGATAATTCTTCTATAGAAAACTATTAATCGTCCGTTGTCAAAAATCACAATATGTGAATAAATATCAACGAAGAAGAAAACAAAATGAAGGATGTTTTGGATTGCAGGGGATTATGGACCTAGATATCCAGCTACTCCAGTTCCAACCTTCTCTTCATCCTGGGATCCCAAACCAAACTATTTTCCAACCCAACCAAACCATTTCAGGTCTGATCAAATAAAACAAATTATTTAGAATTAAGAAAAGATCATCGAAGCAAAAGCTGTGAAAAAAACGAGAAAAAACGTTTTTTATTGTCCTTGTCTTTCTCCTTGCCATTGCAAGATTTAAAAGGAAAAAATTATTTTCCAAACTATTTAGTTTTCTTTTTGAACCCGCAAATAACCAGAAAACTCCGAAATAGGAAGACGACTTTATAGAAATACTTAATTGTGTATTGATGGTATTACAAAGCAAATTATTTTACTAGACACTTATTAAATCACTAATTAAGGGTCTGTTTACACTGAAGACTTTCTGTGTCCCAGGATTATTGGACTCTTTAAAGTCATAACTGAAGCAAAAGTAGTTTTCCTATTTCAGAGTTTTCTGGTTATACCTGTATACCTATTTTGTAAAACTATCTCAGTTATCTTCCTAAACCCGAGACTAAACCTAATTCTCTTAGATGTTTCAGTTATCGTCCTAAACCCGAAACTATACTTATTTTTCTTCAATGCTATACTTTTCTTCCTATACCCGAAACTTTACCGAATTTTATACCTAAACCCTAAAGTATACCTAATTTTTTTAAACCATCTCAGTTATCTTTCGAAACCCGAGAATAAATTTAATTTTCTTAACTGTTTCAGCTTTCTTTCTAAACCCAAGACTAAACCTAATTTTCTGAAACTATCTCAGTTTTCTTCCTAAACCCGAGATTTAACCTAATTTTCTTAAACTATCTCAGTTTTCTTCCTAAACCCGAGACTAAACCTGGAAATATAACACCAACCTATTGTAGTGGAAGCCCCAGGTAGGTTCAGCTATTTTTTAATACAAAGTGACCTTTTCTTTATTTGGTTCATATAAGAACAAGAGACACGTACGTAGTATATACAGGGCTACCCTAAAAGGATTAAATTATACTGACGACGTAAAACTCTTTATATTTATACAATGATTGAGGGTTAGAAATGTGTCTGCTTTTAATAATTCAATTATAATAATTCCCTTTCAATAATTTTTAAATCATTTGGTAAATAACCTTGCACTTGTTAAACACCAAAAATGTGAAAATATTAGATTTAAAAACCAAACAGTTCTCTTTCAAATCTCATTCTGTGTGGAATACTCTGTGTATAACTAATCCTGGAAGACACAATATAACACTTCAGTCTCTACAGCCATTCCTACTATACTAACCGCAGGGGTAGATACAAAGAATACAAATGTAGCCTGAGCTGGAAACTTTTGAATGGTGGATATCACGATTAATGCTTGATCCTCTCTTTTTCTTATTCTCGAGACTAACCTAATCTTGTACTTGTATCCTGAAAAGTGTATAAAATTGAACCAATAAGAATCGTGTATCAGATTCAGAAGCCGGGAAATTTAAAATTCTACGCTCCATTGAAGATTAATATACAGAAACGCCTCTAATTTTGAAAAATGGGTTTTTGATTTTTCTGTTCTATATCCAAAAAAGAGTAAATTGAGCAAGAAATTAAAAGTGTCCACATTGGTCCACAAAGGTGTCCAATTCTGAAGTTCCCAGATTTGAGCTGGAATTACTTTTGAATGGTGGATATCGGATTGAATGCTTCATCCACGCTTTTTCTTAATCTCAAACTTTAATAATGCTTGTTCTCCTCTTGTTGTTAATCTCCAGAGCTGAAAACTTTAGAATGGGACATCCTTAATCCCGATCGGTTAATTTATCTGGAGATAGATAACAAGAGGAGTCAAAGCATTATTTAATCTCAAGATGGAGAAAACGAGTGGATCAGGCATTACTCCCGATATCCACCATTCAAAAGTTTCCAGCTCAGATTAATTAACCGATCGGGATTAGGGATATCCTATTCTAAAGTTTTTAGCTCTGAATACATATATCAGCCAAAAAAATTCGTCCAATTAAAAATTACTTTTGTTAGACTAGGCACTTAGGGTCGACTAGGAGACAGGCAGTTTTCACAAACATCTCGTTTTTCAAAAAAGCTCTCGTTCTGAAAAATAAAACCAAGTTTTTGTTGTTTAAAATTGACAACTTTGTTAACGAATGTTATGTTTTGAAAAATCTAAATCTAAACGAAAAGTTATCGATCAAGAATGTCGCATAGTTTATCAGGTGATAAAGATAAAACTGATCATGTTTTTTAACTCACTCTGTATTACAGGGGAAGAACAACATCTGCAAGATCTATTCCTATTATTCAGGGAACCCAGCCTAGAGGTAGAGAAATTGATTTAAAATGTTTTACTAAAATGTCATATATTCATATGTTCCACAAAACCTTCCAAATTTACGATTTCAAATAAGTAAAAATTGCACTATTTTTAACAATTCAAACTTTTCGATTGACGCTCTGCATACTAAAGGGCCAATTATTTTACCATTACAAAAAAAATTAGATAATATCTTTCAAAAAATATCCCTTTCAAATTAAAACTTTGGAAAATAGTTTCGTAAATATCCCTTTGACAGCTTGGAAAATTACAGCTTAATCCGTATATTGATAACCAGAAAACTCTGGAATAGGAAGACGACTTTTAGAATCAAGTTATTAGAAAGTCCAATAAGCATGAAACAAGCAATTGTGCAGTGTCCATTTAACGAAACTAGTGATTTACTAAGTTTCTAGTAAATCTTTTTGCTTTGTAATCAAATACTCTTAAACATTGTTATAATGTCGTCTTCCTATTTCATTGTTTTCTAGTTATCACTATATATCCTTCAGAGACATTAACTAATAATTGATTGTTATAGAAATTATTTATTGTATTCAACTATACGGGAGATACTTTATATAATCAGTGACAAGTTTCAAAATGTTCGATAATATTTCAAAACAATTAAAATAAAAAATAGGAAAATTATTTCATTATTTTCTGGTTACCAAACTCTAGTCAATTCTTTGCTGTAGGAGGGTTCGGAGAAGCAGCGAGCAGACTTAAATCTGAATTCTTATCAGAACCCAGATCTGGTTTAAACAAACCAGATACGATTAGAACAGTTCCAATTGTTCAAGAGAATAGAACAGACAGGAAGCAGGAAGACGGAGTAAAAGAAGGACATCCACCTAGTTCAATGAAAGAGGAGAAAAGGTCCCCTGATATTACAGGAAGAAGCAGTCAACCCTGTTCTACCAGCAAACAAGAAACAAGGTATATAAATTCTTTACTATTCTAAGTTAAGGACACAGTGGAGAATTAAGTAGAACCTCTTCAAATCTGATGGATTACTAATTTGTGATATGGATTGTTTAAGAAATTCAGAAAATGATAATTATATGGTTTCCCACAAACGATGTAACTTTAATTACGACCTGAGTCGGAATTTCATGAATTTGAGCAGCGTCTTAAATCCGCCAAAAACCAGTTTCAATTGAACGCCGGCTGAAATATTAAAACATTTAATACAATTTTAAGTGGAACCAACCATTTTTGAGCCGCGTCTCAAATTTAAGTCGCGGCTCAAATTCTTTAAATTCGGTCTCTGAAATCAAAACTAATTTAAAGTCTGGGAACGAGGGAAGGCACAAATAACGTCACAAATCATCATTATTTCACAAAAAAAACGGTGTGGTTGGACGAAATAATTAGCATGTTATGACGTAATTTGTGGTGCGGAAGAAAAAATGGTGTGGGATGCATTCCCTCCTTCGTTTTGTAATTGTAAATCAAAGATTTGGCCTAAGAAGACACAAATTTGCACCCTTTCTAATGATAATTTTTTTCTTCACAATTGTCGGCAATGATTCTTTTGATCTAAAAAGAGATTACTCAGTTATCAATAGTAAAGATTATCAGTACTTTATTTTGTTGCCCCAAACTCAAATTTAGCTACTAAATCTTGGCAACTAATAAAACAATAATATTGGAGGAAAATAATCAGTACCTTTAGATTGTTCTCGTCAAAGAATTCGGAAGGATTCGTGGATTCAGTTTAAAATGATTTAGATCTGGTAAAGGAATAACTGGACTTAAGTCCTGCTTAAAGTCTGGAGCTTCTAGTTCCTCTGCACCTTCCTCCAGTACAACACTGTACACCAATACCCAGGGTTCAACCAAAACAATTGAATCTTACAAACAAAATGTTCTCTTCAAATCTACAGGTTAGAATTAAATCAAGGAGTATAAGGAAAAGCTTACCTGTAGATTCTGTAGATACGATCAGGAGATTTCTATTTTCTTCTAGAACTATTGTGTTTTCAATAATAGATGAAAGAGTTATAAATGTAATAAGAGGTGACATATAGAGATCTCTTGAATGTAAATTTGTCTACTACATAATCCCCAGGCAAACAAAAAAATCACATTAAATTTTTTTTTTAATTAGGTACACAAGTTACGGTACATTCCAGTTAATTTCATGTACCGTGCTGAATTTCGACTAGCCAGGGCAAGCAGTACAGTACAAATACAGACTATATTAGGCAAAACGGGACGGTACTCCTATTGAATGATCCTCTTCTAGTGAAATTTATGTTAAGTCAGCAAAACATTAATTTATTTATTATATTTTATTTATTAATGTATTAATCAAGGCGGAACGGACTGACTCTTGCTCTATGGTATTCCATACTCCGTGGAGTAAAAAAGTTTTGAAATATTTTTTAAAATGAAAGAATATTGTATATATATATAATATATATATATATATATATATGACACAACTTTTAGAAACAAATTTTGAGAAAATTACAAAGAAGAAAATTAGTAATCTTCTTATTCAGGCGTGGAAAGTTCAGGAAAGGACAACGATCATGATTATGACTGGATGGAATTTAAGAAGAATGAAGGTCAGAAAAAAGCATGATTTCAGTTTTACATTTTTTCTGCTTTTTTACAATTTTCTACTTTTTAATATTTCCTCTCAAAGAACGTGATGTATCTGTTAACTTTTTATTTCACTTTTAATTTGAGATGTTCTTCCTTCAAAATATCGAGTATGTATTTAACCGCCTTTTGACCAATATTTTGACCCATGATTCCCAGCAGGATGTAAAGTCCTTAACTATCCCTTGGGACAATTAGATAAAATGACATTCCGCTTTGCGCACCCAGTCTTCTCAAAAGACGATACAATTTTGTACAACTCTTTTTCGGGAAATTAATAACAAATAAAATAATTTTTTTTAAGAAGTTTAAAATACTGTTCAGGTTCAAATACTGGGAATGAGATGAATGCACCTAAGAGTGCGGGTTCAGTAGTCCCCATTCCCAACTCTAGGTATGGTTTGGATCATGTAGCCGTGTAGAGGATATTATTTATCCATACTACATTTTCAGAATCCTGAAACTTCAAAAAAAATTTCACCTACACATATATATTATTTTCAAGTATGATTTTCTGATTTTGTAATATAAATGGAATAATATAATGGAAGAAATTGTGAGAAAACGAGTTTCAAGCTAGAAAAACGACGATATCTTTACACTAGTGTTCTGATGAAGGTATAAACTACTGGTCACTTGAAATTACATCGACATTTCATTAAATTCCAACAATCGTCCCACTGTTAAATTGATAAAATCCCACTAGTATTAGTTTTAGTAAATATCTTATATAATCGTTTTCAGACTCAAATTATGACTTTAAATAGTCAAATGAACATGAGAAACAGTAGTTGTGCAGTGTAAACAGACCTATTTTAATTAATAAATGTATTAATAAGTTTATTGTAAAACTATCTGCTTTGTAACAACATCAAATACAATGTATTGCTTTAAGATCGTCTTCTATTCTCCAGTTTCCTAGTTCTCCTGATACAGGGTGTCCCAATAAACATGAGAATTCGGTAACAAATTCGATATCGTCTTTTGAAATAATTCTTTGGTTTAGTATAGTGATACCTACTGAGAAAGCTGTAATCTGTAAGAGTTTGGTCTGCTATGGATACATTTTGTTTGTTTATGTTTTGACTGCATACGGTTGTACTAAGTAAAACAAGAAAATTACATATACAAACAGAGTAAACTTGTCCGTCTTCACTGATCATCTTGCGGAGACATTTTAGACACATCTTTACAGTCTTTTATCCTTTTCAAGCAGAAATAATAATATTACGGCTTTTGAAATTAGGCATTACAATTCTAATTCATAACAAAGACGATATCCAATTCGTCCCTGAATTCCCATGTTTTTTTGGACACCCTGTATATAATTATTGAATTTAGGATATCCGAAGAAAGATCTAGATTGGGCAAAAACCAGCCCAAGGAGGAGAAGGTTGAGAAGGCGGAAGGAGATATGAGGAAGGAGAAAGGAGGGACTAACCCATTCGAGTGTGAAGATTGTAGATATAAGGATGCTGGGAATAATAATCAGTGTTCTGCCTGTGATGCAGGAACACAGACGGAAAGAGTAAAAAAATCTAATTGTAGGGTTATGTAACTCTGATTTGAATACACATAATTCATTTCTTTAATTCTTTTTACCTAAAGTTCGTTTGTATTTGGTAAGGCCATAAAATAGTCCCTGTTCACTGTACAATAAACCGAGGCAATAAAAGATTGATAAGTAATGAATATTAAAAAATTTAGTTACATGTATGTCACCTCATTGTTATAACTTTGTAAAATATATAAAGTAAAATATATAGATGTCGATATATTTTCTCCCCAAGCTTAATACCCTAGTGGGATACCCATTACTTTGAAGGATGACAAGCTAAGAGGTATTTCAGGAAAAAATTGAAAAAAATCCCTTTAACGAAAATAAAACAAAACAATTTTTAGAAATATTCAAAAGATTCATCTCCATCGCCCAAATACTGCCCAAAACATTCTAAAAATTGTTTCTTTTTTCTGGACTTTAATTTCTAAAATTAGTAATGAATCCCTGACAAATTAATATTTGCTTGATGATGCATTTGCCGCAAGCTCTAAAGGGGAACAGTGGAAAAAGGATCCAGTCTATAGTTATTAAGATTTCAAAATGTTTCTGTACAGTAAAGTTATAATTGCAAATAAATATGTGAAGGTGTTGAATTAGTAGAATATATATACAACTAGGCTTTTAGGGCGCTTCGCTCCCTTCTTCTATTGAAATTGTGAACATGTTCTTTTTGTTTACATTTTAAAACAAAGAAGAAAACAATTTTGCGGATTTTTAAAAAAAAATCGCGGATTTTCAAGAATTTAAATTTTTTTACAAAATTAAAAACATTTTTTAAAATTTTTATCATTCATAAACTTTCCCTGTGGTCACGTGATGTCCCACAAAAAATTTGGGCCCGATCAGTTCAGCCGTTTTGACGTTTATTGGATACAAACAAACAGACAGACACCCAGACAAGCTAAATTTAAATATAGACTAGCCTTAGAGGGCGCTTTATCATTCATAAACCTTCCCTGGGGTCCCTAGATGTCCCACAAAAAATATGGGCCCGATCGGTTCAGCCGTTTTGACGTTTATTGGATACAAACAGACAGACAAATAAACAAACAAACACCCACCCAAGCCAAATTTATATATAGATGGAGCAATCCAACATATGAAACAAATTCTCAATTCTCAAATTTAGTAAATCATTACAATTCATGCAATTATCTGCAACTGTAAACACACACGGGGAGGGAAATGATTGAAATTGATTCCCTATGCATTAGATTTTCTTAATTCAGGAAATAATATCTTGTCATCATAGGAATTAGAATGCTCATTCATGCATAAGAACTCAATTTTGAGATGTAGGAATCGTAATTCCTAAATTAATAGAAAATAATTTTGTGAAAAACAGAAAATGATTGAGAACTTTAAAGATTATTTTTCTGTAAACCGAGCTCATCCCTGAATTAGTTCCAAGTTGGCTGCTAGTGTACAGTTGTTGTTAGGTGATCTAAGAATTCCTAAACTTTAACAAGGCAGGGAAGGCATGCTCACATTCCATATGCCTTTCTGTCAGCAAAAGCAACAATATAACATTGAAAAGTATAATTTTTATAATGATTTCATATAGATATACTTACACAAATGTCATCTATTAAGAAAATAACTCAAATTATGTCTACATCTGTCTCCACTTGCCTTACTGCAGGTTAAGCCTATTCAGGCATATACTTTTACATACTCTCTCTCTCTCTGCTTGCGCCACTTCTCAAAATATTCAAAAGCTAATGTGTTCATTTATTTGTGTTCTTAATTATAATGAATTCAAAGCGTTTAATTATGTTTTAACAATCGATGCCAAATTGTAGAGAAAATATTTTTTTATGGTTTTTTCTTATACTTTAATTGGACTTTCTTTATTTGTTGGTGTAACGACTATTTTGGTTGGTTTTTCTCCAGATGTTGGTGTAGTTATAGAAATTTTAGTTGGAATTTCTCCAGTTGGAGGTGCGGTTACAATAACTTTAATTGGTATTTCTCCAGTTGGAGGTGCGGTTACAATAATTTTAATTGGTATTTCTCCAGTTGGAGGTGCGGTTACAATAATTTTAGTTGGTATTTCTCCAGTTGGAGGGACGGTTACAATAATTTTAGTTGGTATTTCTCCAGTTGGAGGTGCGGTTACAATAATTTTAGTTGGTATTTCTCCAGTTGGAGGTGCGGTTGTAGCTGTAGCTGTTGTTGGCTCAAAAGTTGATGTTGATGAGATATCAACAGGTTCTTCTTTGTTTGTAGCTGTAGCTGTTGTTGGCTCAATAGTTGATGTTGATGAAATATCAACTGGTATTTCTCCAGTTGTTGGGGTAGTTGTAACAATCTCAGTGGGTATTTCTCCAGTTGTTGGGGTAGTTACAATAATCTCAGTGGGTATTTCTCCAATTGTTGGGGTAGTTGTTGTTGATAAAATTTCAACAGGAGTTTCCCCTATGGTATATGTAGTTGTGGTAGGTTCTAGAGCTGTAGATTTAGTGTCCATGGTTGTTTCGTCTGTAATACCAGTTGTTGAATCAGTTTCTAAAATATAATTTCATAATTTATGCTGACCCAAAAAATGTCTTTAAAAGTTAGTTAAAATTAAATGTTCGAATAGAAAGATGTATGTATAAGGCAAAATAACCAAGCAATGAACAACCGAAGCTATTTAAATTATCAAAACTTGAAAGAGTAAAAATTAACAAATGTTACTGTGCGTAATTTCAAGGGATCCTCCATGCAAAGATGGCGATGCCTAATTTTCAGTGCTCTTGACTGATCATTGATCACAAAGAACTTTGAAAATTTATCTCTCAAATGGTGAATAAACTGAATTGCAAAATTATTCAAATTTTAAAAGGTAACTGTGTGAATCAAATGCACCTTTCTTCAAATAGAGAGGGTCACTTGAAATTATGTCTGAAGTCACTTTTAATAAATCATGCAATCCACTATGTGAGATTGATATCGGGGGGGGGGGGCATGCCCCTGTATTTATAAAAGAAGGGCGAAGATGAAACTAGGCTAATTCCTAAGAATACTTTAGAAAAAGTTCCCATGATTTCTTAGAAATTTTGGCGTATTTCAAGTGTTCAACCTATTCCATTAGCTTAGATTCATTATGGTCCTTAAGAGAACATGTGTTTTACACCTGGGAGTTTTTTTGGATTTTTTAAATGTTATACTTTTTTCTGGTGTAGAAGTGAAAGTAGAAGTTGGAGTAATAAAAGATGTGGAGACTGATGTGGCTGTGCTGATAGAGGCAGATGTAAATGTGGAAGTAGAAGCCGAGGTAGAAGGAGTTATTGAAGGGGAGGTGTTGGTGGTGGAAAATGTCACTTAATAAGTAAAATAAAAATAAATGTGCATTCTGTCATGCAGATATTAATAATTGTAATATATTTAAGTTGGGCGACTCTTTTAGGATATAAGTCAACTATTTTATAAAACTTTTTATATTTGAAAATATGTATTTTCCCTACAAAAACTCTACAGTACCAAACCAGTGGTAACCAGATAACCGGAATGACGGTTGTCTTCATTATTTCATTTTATTCCAAAATGACTCTATGAAGTAGTTACAGTAGAACCATTAGACTTGACTGTTAGTTGACGGTGTGATACTTACATAGAAATAAGGAAATCAATCCATTCACCTTAATTGTCCTCGGAACAAGCCAACTCAACTAGATTCTTTTTTTCAGTAAAAGTATCTAACTCTTATTAACTTAAGGAAGGACTAGTTTCGCATGTGTTGGAAGTATTTTGGGTCACACACAATACACAGATGTAATTAATTTTAACAAATGGGAATAAAAGTGTATAATCAAAAAATAAAATGTACTTTTTTCTGTTGTAGAAGTGAAAGTTGAAGTGATCTCAGATGAAGAGACAGATGTAGGAGTAAACATGGATGTTGATGTTAGGTTATATGTAGAAGTTAGTATGGAAGTTGATGTGGGGGTAGATGAAGACATAGACGTGGAAGAGGAGGATGGGATAGTGGATGTGATGGTAGAAGAAGATGGGATGGTGGATGTGATGGTAGAGGAGGATGGGAAGGTGGATGTGATGGTAGAGGAGGATGGGATGGTGGATGTGATGGAAGAGGAGGATGGAATGGTGGATGTGATGGTAGAGGAGGA